CCCTCCAACCTCCCGCAATTTTCAGAAGAAGCGAGCTGATGCAGAAGAAGCATGTATGCTTAATCAGCTGCTTGCACTGTATGCGTCACGGGAAGCTGAGAATGTTTCGGAGTGTTCTATGGTCTGCTGGGGTAATAATATAGTGTAAAGCGCATAGAGCCTGCTGGTGAGCGGGGATATGCGCTATACAAATGCTATCTATTATTACTATTATTATTATTATTATTATTATTATAAGCAGAAAGGCATCAATCGCTGACCCTGGCCATGACCCTGACCTTGGCCCTAACCACCTCTAATACATGTAGTTTCCTTGCACTCCCTGCACCAGCGTCTCTGTAGTTTAAGTTTCAGTAAGATTTATTTTTAAAATTTTTATTTTTTGTAGAGAGGTTTTATGGCATTCGCAACTGCATAAAGTCATATGAGTGTGAGCGCCAGAAGATTAGAGGTGTTACAAAGAGAGTAAAAAACATAAAAAAGAAGAAGGGGAGATAAGGACGATAGATGTTTGATAGGAAAGAAGAAGCAAATCACACCAGAGCACCCGCCAACCACCCACAGTAAGGTTTTACTCTGCTCGCAACTGCATAAGGTCATATGAGCGCCAAGGGGTGGACGTCAACAAAGAAGTCCTTACAGGGAATCAGACTTGCTCTGCTCACCTCTCCTGCCTCAACAGCACAAAGTCTGCTTCGACTATCAAGGCACCCTGGAAATAGCAGTTCACAAGAGAGTGACAAACATACAAAAGAAGTAGAGGAAGAATGCGGGTGGTTGGCGGGTGCTCTGATGCGGTTTGCTTCTTCTTTCCTATCAAACATCTATTGCCCTGATCCCTCCTTCTTCTTTTTTATATTTGTTACTCTCTTGTAACAACACCTCTAATCTTCTGGCGCTCATATGACCTTATGCAGTTACGAGCGCCGTAAAACCTCTATTAAAACCCAAAAAAAACTAAGAGGAAGAATGACGATAGTAAAGACGAGGAGCGAAACAGCAGCACCAGCGTCTTTTTTTTTTTTATATAGTAGAGGGTTTTACGGCGCTTGCAACTGCATAAGGTCAAATGAGCGCCAAGGGATGGGTGTCAACAGAGAAGTCCTTACAGGGAATCAGACCTAGACTGCTCCCCTCTCTAGCTTCAACAGCACAAGGTCTGCTCCGACTATCAAGGCACCCCGGAAATAGCAGGTCACAAGAGAGAGACAAACATACAAAAGAAGAAAGGAAGAAAGATGATAGTAAGGATTAGGAAAGAAAAAGCAGCAGTTCCCTGTCGTATTTCAATCACAGTTATGAGCATGACATTGTTGGATCAGCCCATTTACAATTCTACTGTGCATAAGAACGAGAAATGTCCCCCTTTTGGGAAAGGCCTAAAGACACTTCAGTCAGTGGCACTGCCCCGGGGGGTCCCGGAAATAGCAGTTCACAAGAGAGGGACAAACATACAATAGAAGTAGAGGAAGAATAACGACAGTAAGGATGAGGAAAGAAAAAGCAGCAGCACTAGCGTCTGCTGACCAGGGATTGGCCTGAGCAGCCATCTCCGCGCCCACATATGATGAAAAGGACCTTATAACATCGTAACACAGGGGGACAGTCGTCATCAAATCGATGGACAGCAAAGGTAACATTTTTACACTTTTTAACAATAATATAACTTTCCTTTAAATCCCTTTATTTAGGGACATAGCAATAGCAGTAAAGATAGAGGAACACAACCCCCCCCCCCCCACCAAAAAGAAAACCAACCTCCCCTAAAAAACTCGCTCACCTGCTAACATACATTTTTAAAAAACAACTCAAGGCAAAGCAAGAAATTTACCAAAATTTTAATTCTACAAAATACAAATTAAGAAAGAGAGAAAAAAAAACAACAACAACTAAATGAATGTATAAATTCACAGCAATGAGACTCCAAATAATATCAAAGCAAAAGTTTGCATTATTGCCCCTCAGGATTATTTCATAAAATTTATTAAGATATTCTGGTTAAAGCGTCATTATTAAGGTCATTTCAACCCCTGCACCTCCGTAGCTGTAAAACAATATTCAAACAAAAAAGGTAACAACAATGGAAAATGCAATGGTTTAAGTTGATAAATGCTTCCAAAACCTTTACCCTCAACCCAGATATGATCTAGCTATTTGTCTTTCTATATATATTATATAACTGCTCAACAGGAAAACACACGAGAACAAAATGTAGACCTACAATTATTGTATTGTAATGCAACTTCATGAACCGTTCAAAATAACAATATAAAATTACCCAAAAAATATTTAAAAACATTTTCAAAAACATTTTTCCACACAAGCTGAGAAAATTGCTTCGTTTGTTGGAGTTTTAAAAAGTACACCGAGGCAATAATGGTCATTTACTTAGTGCTGGGCAAAAGCAGGACAGACAGTTTTTAGTTTTAGTAGAGGTTTTACGGCGCTTGCAACTGCATAAGATCATATGAGCGTCAAGGGGTGGGTGTCAACAGAGAAGTCTTTACAGGAAATCAGACTTACTCTGCTCACCTCTCTAGCTTCAACAGCACAAAGTCTGCTTCGACCATCAAGTCACCCAGGAAATAGCAGGTCACAAGAGAGTGACAGACATACAAAAAAAAGTAGAGGAAAATGATAATAGTTAGGATTAGGAAAGAAAAAGCAGCAGTTCCCCGTTGCAGATCAGGCACAGTTATGAGCGGGACATGAGTCAGCCCATTTCTTGGTTTGTTTAGTAGTATAGGGTTTTACGGCGCTCGCAACTGCTAAGGTCATATGAGCGCGCGAAACACAAGTTTACTTTCGCAAAATTTCACTGCACGATTGGTTAACTAATTGACTTTAAAATGCTAAAATGTTAAAATATTAACATTCAGTGTAAATATATTTGTGACTTGAAACAACTCTTTTAAGTAACAATAAATATTTTAAATAGTACGTTTTCATTTTTCATTTTACAACTTGCCATAAAGGCCATTGGTTTGTTTGAGTAAAGGAAAGTACACTGAGGCAATAATGGTCTTTTAGCGCTGGGCAAAAGCAGGACAGACAGACAGACAGACAGACAGACAGACAGACAGACAGACAGACAGACAGACAGACAGACAGACAACAGAGGGAAAGTAAAGAAGAAAGGACCTACAAGTGGCACCCTCCAACCGTCCGCTGCTGTGAATATTGCAGTTTAAATACCAAAACTTAAATCAAAACTTTTATTGAGCAGAGTAAAAAAATAACATTTCTCTTTGGTTAAAACGAAGCAACGAGGCAGTTAGTTATCTAGGAGAATAGTCCTATAGAAAGATTGTAGCAATACAAAAACTTATATTGAGCATAGTAAAACAATGTTTCTCTTTGATCAAAACTAAGTAAGTAACAAGGCAAAGTTATATTATAAGGATAGTTCAAATAAAAAAATAGAACTTGTAGTACAAAAGTACTCAGAGTGGTGGTAATATCATGCACGCAAAAAAAATAAAAAAATATTCAAGTCAGGCATTAAAAAATAGTAGGGTGGGCTTGATTTTCACATTTTTGGGGGATTTTGTTTTGGGTTGTTTAGTTGGGTTTTTTTTTTCTAAATTAGCTATAGTAGTGGTTTTACGCCTCCATCAACACATTTTGAGATCATTTAGGAGGCGGGCTTGGCTTCCAACCCTGCCTGTCAGGTCCAACCCAGGCAGAGAGGAATGCAATGCCCCAGCAGAGAGACTGAGACACTCATTAAAAATTCTCCCCACTCAGGAATTGAACTTGGGTCTTCTGTGAGAGACAGCAAAACGGCTAAGCACTACACCACAGATGTCAGGTCTTCCACTCACACATGACATTCAGAGTGAGGCAAAAACAGACAGGAGGTTGAGGCAAGAACTATGAAAAGCCATAACTTTAAATTTAAAAAAAAACAGGCTGACTTGCGTCTTTTATAAACTGACATCGGCGAAGAAAAAATCAAATTTAGTCAAAAATGGATTTGAAATAATATCCTCTTTTAAAACAATAACCTGGTAAAACAATGAAAACTGTAAAAAACAACCTGGTAAATACTTAGAGTAGTCAATTCAAGGTATCACACAAGAACATTTCATTTTTTAATCAAAATTAAGTAACAGCACAAAATGATTATAAGACAGCTTAAATATAAGTAGAACCACTGGCCTGAAAAAAAGGAATACTAAAAAAATATAATAATATTAATATCACGCAGATAAATAACTCTTATGTCTGAGGAGCAGATACTACCCCATATGGATATTCGAAAGTACCGATTGCTTTCAAACGTGGAGACCGTCGCATTCAGACAGGAGTCAGAGTAAAACACTAAAACAGTACAACTCATGTAGAACGATATTAGAAATGAGTAAACCAACTTGTGTTCTGTGTAAACTGACTTGAAGAAGAGAAAAAGGGTTGTGAAGAGCGAGTTCACATCAAGTCAAAGCCGGCTGCTAAAGAAAAAAGTGCAAATTCATTCAAGCAAAATAACAAGCTTACTCTGGTTAATATATATGAAGCGTGCGGACAAAATGAGTTGCTTCTCACAATCCACAAATGAAGATATTGACCACAAATCAACACTAGGGTCAAATTTGTAGATTTTTCCATTGATGTCGTATTCTTTAACTATAACTTGCCTTAGATGATTTCATACTTACAAATTGTGAAAACTTCATCTATAAGCGTGATGTAGCGATTTCCATAGGGCTCGAATCCAAAAAGTAACTCATTTTGTCAGCATCCTTCACATATTATAGTATAGTTAGTATATACAAGGGGGGGGGGGGGGAGATAAGGCATTCTAGAAAACTTGATATAAAGTGGCTGCTTACTGGAAAGAATGAAAATGGAAAACAAAACTAGGCAAAGAGGGTCTCAGCATCTAGAACAGAATTTCCTCACCCCCAAAAAGAAAACAGGACAACTTTTTTTTAAATTCCCAGTTGGGGGGGGAGGAATGTTTTTCGAGTAGAGAGAAGGAGAGAAACAAAATAAGTGATCATTCAGGGTTAAGGAAAAAGTAAGACGGGCGGATAAAACTGTCCCCGTCGTTTTATGCGAGAAAAATTCTGAAATTATGCAAACTGGGCCCAAAAATGTGGAATTATGTGATAGTGCTAATTTTACCAAAGAATGATATAGGAAAATAATCAGAAATTAAGCAAAAAATGATCAAATTTTGCTAAATTATGCGGGGTGCATAAAACCATGGGGACAGATAAAAAGAACAGAAAGAAGGAACAGAAAAAAAGCGGGACCTACCGGTGGCCAAATTACATCACAAATAAAACAGTAGCACAACATTTCTGGTGATCACAATGACTCATCTGAAATATACTCCCAACAAGGACAAGAAAAGACTAGGTTCTCAATGCTTCTCCACACGGACTACATAGATCTACTCTGTTGTACTGAGATGAAATACAGCACAAAAACTTTTCTAAATGTGAGGCATCGTGGTGAAATCAGGCACTCGTCAAAATAATGAAATCGAAAAAAAAACAGGCATTTTTCTGTCCGTTTAGCAATTCTTATCAAATTTTTGTTGTTTGACTCGACATCTTTCAGAACCATTAAAAAACACATTTCAGTGTGGATTTCACAAAAAAAATGTTGATTTAAGACACAAAAATGTAAATTTGCATTTTCTAATGACTTTCAGACTTTGAAAGTCGCCAAATTTGGCAGCCCTCATTTTCTTGCTAATTTTATCTCTGAAACCAGGCGACCCCCACCCCTTTTTAAAATCGTAAATACCTCGACTTCTATTCATGATAGATCTATATGAGTATTTTCTTTACCGAAAACAAGACAAATGAATAACCTTTAAAATGATACCAATAACTCCCCACGTCCAAAAACGGACGAGCACCTGATTCCCCCGCGTCGTGACACAAAAGGTACCAAGTAACTGACTTCACTCAAATCTTGGCCCAAAAAAAAACAAGCAAACGAGTTTACATCTTCCACTCGGAGATTTTCTCCTCTTTGATGAAATTTCCACGCGGACTCGAGATGTTTGGCAGCAGAAGAGCGCAATAAGTTGGAGTTACTGCCCCTGAGGAAGAAATAAATATAAGTTTTAAAAAATCAGTTTCACTTGTGTAATTATCACACACAGATCCTCGGGCACGGAAACTACTGGCCGGCACACAAGGAAAGTGAACAAGAGTGATGATTCTTTAGCCCTAGTTTATCTGTTTATAATATATTAACTTTCATATGAAAAAGTTGCACGTAGGCCTACTTGTATATTTCAAATGTTGTGGAGCTCTTGAGCAATATATTATGAACATTCATAAGATCGTCAAAATCACTTTCCATATCCCGCTCGGGGTAGTTCTCGTAAGTACCAGCATCTAATTTTTTTTAATCTTCAAAATAATCAATATGTATAACATTCTGTGTAGTACACACTGTTTTCCGTACGAGTTTTGTCCCAGACAAGCCAGGTTGGGGATTGGATAGGGTCTCGCGCACCGGTGCGCCACAGGCAAGGCATACAGGCAAGGCATACAGGAAAGGCATACGGGCAATTTTATGCGCCATCAGAGTACCAGAAGCAAGGGCTCAAAGGGTTAAACTCCAGCCTTACCTTGATCTATGGTCAGATGACCCATGTGGCTAGTCATGTCCGTATCCACATATCCGGGACAACACTGTAATATACAGAGGAGGAAGGTAGTTTTGGATTAGTCAATAGACAGACAGAAAATATAGTAACAGGGACACCAAACGGCGCTATGGCAAACAGAAAAACAGCCAAATGGAGAGAGAGAGAGGCAGAGACAGATAGTCAAAGAGAGAGAGAGAGGGAGGGAGGACGGGAGGGAGGGAGAGAGAGAGAGAGAGAAAGAGAGAGACAGAGACAGAGAGACACAGACAGATAGTCAAAGAGAGAGAGAGGGAGGGAGGGAGAGAGAGGGAGAAAGAGAGAGAGAGAGAGAGAGAGAGAGAGAGAGAGACAGAGACAGAGAGACAGAGACAGAGAGACAGAGAGACACAGACAGATAGTCAAAGAGAGAGAGAGGGAGAGAGAGGGAGAGAGAGGGAGAGAGAGAGAGAGAGAGAGAGAGAGAGAGAGAGAGAGACAGAGACAGAGAGACACAGACAGAGAGTCAAAGAGAGAAAGAGGGAGGAAGATGGAAACAGAAGAGGGAATTTATGTAAGATCATCATCATCATCATCCGGTGCCTTGCCGACTGGCGTGGACGATCATGGACCTCCACTTCACTCTGTCTTGCGTTGCAGCAATGGTTTGTTGTTCTTGCTGCTCCTAGCCGTGTTGTCATCTTGTCCAGTATCTTTTCCCTCTGTCTGCTTCTGCCTCTTTTCCATCAAACTTGCCTGTTGTTACAATATTCTCTAATACTTCTTTCTGCATTGTGTGTCCGAACAAAATGTAAGATGCAGATGCATGAAAGTAGGAGGGCCCACAGCTTTGAAATGGACCGTTACTCTTCGCTAAACCTACACTTTGGGAGGCAGAAAATGGTAAAAACTCATCACCACCAATTTCTTTCAATGGAGGATTAATAAAGTTTCTCTCATCAATATCAATTCCGTCACCACAAACCCAACAGTGAGCCTACTCACGGCATTGACCACAATATCGTCCGCTCCCTTCTCGTCCAGCTCTCTCTGCTGAATGATGGACATGACTGTGACCCCAACTTTGGACATCCCGTAAGCGCTGTCAGAAAATCCTTCCTCTACATGTTTGTTGTTCTGGGCTGATCTGAAACATAAATTATCAACTCTTTATCTCCACGGAGGTGGGTAAACCCGCTATGCCGGACCCCTTCTTTGGTACTAAATCTAAAAATTATCAAAACGTCACTAAATGGGTCATTCAACTAAAACAAGTGAACCTATTTGATAGTTTTTCATCTAATGAATTAAATACCGATAAGAGACCTGTTTTCGGTAATTGTTGAAAAGTAATTTGATGTCAAAGTCGTCGTAAAGGAATGCACCCGCCGAGATACTGTCAGCCACTCACTGGCACAGGGGTTCGAACCCACGACCTTACGGTTGCGAGTCCGAGAGCCTAACCACTAGGCCATCAACGCCAAAGATATAATCTCAGCTCTATATTATATGTCAGCTTCCTGGTGTGCCACACCCGCAGCTAATACCATATTCTCTCATTTCATTGGTCCCTGTCATCTCCCCACTGCAAGCACTCACTCAACCAACGCGCTAATAGATCACACGAGCATGAGACTGATATCAATGTTTGGTTTTGTTGGGTTTTTTTGTTTAAAAACATTTTTTTAAAACCCTAAACACGCATTACATTGCAAGCTGTGCTGAAACAATGACGTCACATCACGATTCACTGTGCTCCGAATTTCGAACAGGTTTTATGGAGTGACTACTAAATACTGAAGAGAAGTAAAAACTTTTTAGAGGCATGCAAGTTTTACGACATGGCGTTATCTTCACTTATCACTCTGCCATCAAGTACAAAGTATTGCTGTATTTACTGCAGTGATTTTAGATACAATATGTGTCATGACGGGGTGGAAAAGGGCGCATGTTAATTTTTGGGCATGTGGAGTTATCCGTATCATCTGGAAGCTCGTTCATTTGCCTGGCTTCTAATGAAATAAATATCCGTTTATCTAGAACAGAACTCAAGATATTTGCAATTGAAGGAGGTGTGGTCACCTGGTTTCAGTGTTGAAATTAGCGAGAAAATGGCCGCCACAGTTTGGTAACTCCAATAGCTAAAGAGTCCTTGATGGACATAAAAGAGGTTAAGCTAAATAAATAAAAATTTGATAAAAATTTTCAAACTGGCTGAAACAGGCATGTTTCTTCAATTTCAATATTTTGACAAGCGCCTGCTTTCACCAGGCTCCCTCACATATATAGGCTCTAATTTTTATGTCAGGTTGAGCAAAATTATATGAAAATTCATTATCTAAAAAATAAACTAAACCGTATTCGAATGGCTCTGCTGCGCTTCAAACAGATAGGAAGAGCCCAAAAAACAACCCAACCTGTTAATGTTGATATTGAATAGTAGAGCTGAATGGGGCCAGCTGTACTATACAGACTTACTTGACAAGTACGACAATAAACCAACAAATGCGAGCGCCGTAAAACCCTATACTACTACTACTACTACTAAACCAACAAATAAACTTGGCTCTCCGCCAAAAAGGAAAGCGATAACTAATCCAAAACAACAATAACATGTTGCAGGGACTGATAGTGAGGTACACCAGCACTCAAAACTAATGACATTTTTCTCCTTTCTCTTCAGCATCAAGCAATCACTTCTAAATCTGATTTACTAAGTTTTAGTTTTGGTAGAGGTTTTACGGCGCTCGCAACAGCATATGGTCATATGAGCACCAAAAGATTAGAGGTGCTACAAGAGAGTAACAAACACAAAAAAGAAGAAGGGGAGATAAGGACGATAGATGTTTGATAGGAAAGAAGAAGCAACAAACCACACCAGAGCACCCGCTTATCACCCACTGATTTACTAGTTTCTGTTTGAGGTCAACAACGATGAAGAAGAAGAAGACATAAAATCCAGGCAAGGTCTCGTTGCTTTTCTGTAAGCGAGCTCAAGCTTTCTGCCTTTTAAACCTTTGAGCCCTAACCTCCTGATGCTACCGTGCCCCTCTGTCTGAGCTCCGGAGCGATATATAACTAACATTCATGTCATATGATTGTCAGAATCAAATTCCCTTTATCCCATTAAGGGTACTCCTTGTCTTTACCAGAATCTAATTCACAAAGATCTTCAAAATAATCAGTAACATCATGTGTAGTAAACGCTGTTTTCCGTGCGCGTTTTGTACCTGATAAGCCATGCTGTGAGAAAGGTCTCACTCACCGAAGTGCTGGTGAATAGGTATACAGGCAGTTATACACATCACCCGCGTACTGGTGGCTAGATATACAGGCAGTTATACACGTTACCCGTGTACCGGTGGCTAGACGTACTGGCAGTTATACACATCACCTGTATACTGGTGGCTAGTTATACAGGCAGTTAGATACATCACCAGTGTACTGGTGGCTAGACGTACAGGCAGTTATTTATACACATCACCCATGTACTGGTGGCTAGGTATACAGGCAGTTGTACACATCACAGGTGTACTGGTGGCTAGGCTTACAGGCAGTTATACACATCACCAGTTTACCCATGGCTAGGGCTCAGAAGGTTAAACTGGAAGATTTATATTGCAGTGGCAGGACCTACGAATTCAATGTCCTTCTCTGAAAGGACAGAGCGGAGCAGGTGTAGAGCCTCAAAAACTCTGAAAATAACCTAACGTAAGTTCAATAAAAGCGTAATTCCTTTTAAAATTTATTTTATTTTTCTATTTATTATTTCCAACAGGGATTCGAACCAGGTTACCCACACCATCACCCACCATGATACTAGCTGGGTAAACTCTTTTCTGAAGAATCTCAAAAAGGGTTGAGACAGTGCAATGAATAATCATCATCATCATCGTCATTGTTTAAAAAGCAGAGTAAGTAGGGAGAGTCTTGCTTGATAATAATAATAACAATAATAATATATGGCTCTTTTCGTCTAAGCAGACGGTCAATTTAGCTTAAGATGGTCTCAAGGTTGTCTTCATGCAGCTTCTTTCATGGCTAATATTTCCTATGTTTGAAACGCAGATTCTGTCGCAGTGCTTGCATGTCAGTGTCGTAGATAGAAGCTCTGTATTTCCGCTGTTTTCCTTTCGTCGTTGGCGCTTCTCAGCCTGGTTGTTTCTAAGGCTGTTCTCTAGCATTTTAGTTCTTTCCTTTATAATATTCCTCCATGTTTTCCAGTCCTCAGCTATTTCTTCCCAGGAGTTAACATCTACTCCAAGCTTAGATAAGCTGTTTTTGCAGGTGTCTTTATACCTCAATTTTGGTCTTCCTCTCTAATAATAATAATAATAATAATAATAATAATAATAATAATAATAATTGCATTCATATAGCACATACCCATACTCTACAGCATTCTCTAAGCGCTTTGCAACTATCGTTATCCCAGCAGACCATAGAACACTAAGAAACATTCTCAGTTTCCCATGAAGCATACAGCGCAAGCAGCCAATCAAGCGCTCAAACACTAACAAACTGACAGGATCTTTCACAATCCACAGTTGTGTACCTATTACCACCAGGGTAAAATGAGGAAAATTCAAGTAAAGTGCCTTTCCTGAGAACACAACGTCATGCCCCCTAAAGGAGTTTGAACCCATGACCTTCTGATTACGAGCCTGTCAGCCTAGCCACTAGACCACCAAGGCCACAACATACACAGCCCACTTACTCGACAAACTGCTTCATGATAGAGGTGAGCTCTTCCATTGTGATCTTGGGATCGGTGAAACGTGCCTTGAGAGCATCCGAGCATTTAGCGAGAGACCACTGGCTCACCATGCTGGACACATTACTCACTCTGATGAAAAATAAATCCAACAATACAACACTGGAGTCTGAAAACATTCTTTACTAAACATATTCCTAAATAAATATATATATTCACAGGTTCTTACGTTTGGCAAATCCTTTTTTTCTCCACTGTTCAGCATATGTATCCTTTGTTTTGGTAAGGTTTTACTGGGGTCTGAAAAAATCCTTTACTGAACATAGCTATTTTTCAAACATCTAAATCATCACGGGTTCCATCACATTTCGAAATTTTTTTCTCCACTGCTTAGCATCTGTATCCTTTAACTTAACAACAACAAAGGCAAAAATTGAAAATATATTTTCTGTTCCCAGTTTACATGATGCTCATGTACTAATATCTAACAAGGGAAGTCTGAAGTCCATAACTTCACCTGCAGGTAGGAAATTGGCTTGACGCGAAATTATTTTCTCTGCCATAATATTTCTCCACAAAAAATCAAAGTAAGTTCCTCCTTCATGCACTGAAAGATAAAATCTGGGAAACATTGTCTAAACTTATCTCTTCGGCACTTAAATAACCTATTCATGTTGCAAATGCTGTAATACTCTTATCAAGACTAAAAACTCAGTTCGTTACTGATCATTCCTCACCTTGCATGAGGCCTAAGGAGCGGGAATAAAACATTGCATAGGTCCACAGTGGCGAAGAAATTTGTCTTGTTGGTGACTTCGGCTTGCTCAGGAAAGGGTGCTGTAGCCGTAGCCTGAAAGGAAAAGATGAGCCGCTCATGTCTCAGTGCATGTTTGGACTTAACACTGTCTTTTGCACTCGTGCAGATTTAATATCAAAAGAGGTTCAATCAAAGACATTTATTTTATTTATTCATTTTTTCTTTTTCTTTTCAGAGCTCACAACACGTGTTTCATGGTGACTGATTACATGTATTTGCCATTTCAAAACAACTTTGAAATATTCCGTTTCAGCATTACTTTCTGCTACTCCACCACAGAAAAAACACATTTTTCCTTAACGCTAAAAAATAGAGAGTTCACATTCGTCTTGAATAGGAAAGACATCAATCTAACTGTAACCTATCGAAAAAGCTAAAAGAAAAGTAGAAAAACTAAACACCACTGTCTAAAACTGAAAAACCATATAAAAACAATATATGAACATAAATGTAAGACATCTGTTAAATTACCGAAACATAAATTCAAAAGGCGAAAAAAGTAACCCCTTCAACAGAGAGCATAGCTCTCCGACTTCAACCCCTTTTGCATTAAGTCTGACACGCCAAGCATACCTCAGTGTGGTCTCCTTCCACAATCAGAAGAGAAACAAAAAATGTGTGCTTCATTTATGCACTTATTTCTTATCAGAATAGAACCATTTTCATTTTAACCCCTTGAACCCCAGCTGGTGGCGCATACAACTGCCCGTATACCTAGCCACTGGTACACCAGAGTCGTGTAAAACTGCCCATATGCCTAACCACTGGTACACAAGTGTTGGTAAAACTGCCCGTATGCCTAGCCACTGGTACACAAGTGTTGGTAAAACTGCCCATATGCCTAACCACTGGTACACAAGTGTTGGTAAAACTGCCCGTATGCCTAGCCACTGGTACACAAGTGTTGGTAAAACTGCCCATATGCCTAACCACTGGTACACAAGTGTTGGTAAAACTGCCCGTATGCCTAGCCACTGGTACACAAGTGTTGGTAAAACTGCCCATATGCCTAGCCACTGGTACACAAGTGTTGGTAAATCTGCCCGTATGCCTAGCCACTGGTACAAAACACGTACAGTAAAACCGTGTTTACCACACAAGACATTATTATAACATTATTGATTATTATGACCAGCCAATCTGGAACAAAACACGTACAGTAAAACCGTGTTTACCACACAAGACATTATTATAACATTATTGATTATTATGAAGATCTTTCTGAATTAGATGCCGGTAATGACGAGGACTACCCTGAGTGGGATAAGGAATGTGATTCTGAAAATCATACAGCTTACGGCTTACTGATCCCATAATCCGGGAGGATCGTAGGGGCGCTGTATGATAGAGAGCCTCTTCAGATGCCTCCACTTTTCATGAGGTTTTTTTCACCACCAAGTGACGATCATATGAATGGTATAAATATATCGCTCAGGAGCTCAGGCAGAGGGGCACGGTAGCCTCAGGAACTCACGGCTCAAAGGGTTTAAAGGTACTCAGCTCAACCAGACCTCTAGACAAAACATAAGTGGCGTGAACATTGCAACCACTCTTTCTCTACATTCAACATTTCTCGACGAAAAAAAAACCTGAGAAAAAAGTTTTCAGCTAAATTATAATTTACCTTGTAAGCAATACCAGCATTGTTGACGAGCACGTCAAGGCCTTGGTAGTTCTGCTTCAGAAAGTCTCTCAGCGTCACCACAGTGGAGTGCTCTGTGATGTCCAGCTGGTGGAACAGAGGATTTAAACCCTCCTTTTTCAGAGCATCCACCGCCTCTTTCCCTCTCCCCTCATCTCGGGCTGAGGATAAATACCACACCAATCTCCTTAGTTGAGATGGCAACGTTGACCCGCTAGGACAAGCAGTTTTTTTCTCATACTATCCTAATCATTTATATCCGGAGCGGCCCTTTGTATAATTACACCGGAATACAACAAAGTATATGAAAAAACTTTTAACACATGCTGACTCCACACCCTTTCCCTCAGGATCTTTTTTCTGAAATTCTGAATTAGGGAGGCATCCTGTAATGAGAACCTTGGTTTTTTTTTTCAATTTCTTAACATCATTTTAAACAACAAAACCTTGATCAAACTTCTCTGAAATTGTAATTTAGATTATAGAAACAGGGTTAGAATCAACATCATCAAGGGCCAGATATGAGGCAGATGTGGACAACCATAGTTCAACACTTTCTTCTGTTGTGATGCTCGGAAAAAAACATTATTCCTTATCTTTGTCTTTCCCATCTGTTCCAAGTTCTCCAAATAAGTTGTTCTTGGACTACCCCCCCCCCCGCCTCCTTTGCCTCCTATTTTTCCAGTGAGAATAAAATGTTCATGGCCTTTAACTTTATGTCAATACTTAACAAAAATACTCTCCCCTGAAGCAAAAGTGGGAGGGAATTTGACACTGGACCCACCAACCCTCCAAACCGCTGTAAGGGAAAATTTGAGGAAGAATAAGGCGGATAGCGGTTCCCACACTCTAGGTAGACTGAAGGAGAAGGGGATCCAAAGAGGAGAGGGGAAACACAGCCATCTGTGCGGACCAGTCCGACGGATCTCCAACCAGATTATGATGGAGACTATTAATAGACAGACTCTGGGACGGATCCTGAAGAGGGGGGAGAGCAGAGATGGACATGTTCCGACTGCAGTGACCCCAACACAGTGGACAAGTAAGACAAGTCAGACTCCCCCCTGAACTTTTAAAAAACTATAACATACCTGTCAAAATAACATCCCCATCAAACTTTTTGCACAGGGCCCTCACAATGCCAAACCCAACTCCTTTGTTGGAGCCTGTAACCTGCAAAGAAAGACAATATACAAAAGCACTAAATGAAATTAATCCGTGGTAGAAAGTGTGACAACACGGCAGAATGCTACTGTTTATGATGTACAAAAAAGCTTAAAGGTCACTGTTAGGACTGGGTTGGGGTTGGGGATTGCTAGCTCATTTTGGCACAATTCAACTGAATTTGAAAGTGACCTTCAAAATTAAACATGTTTGTTTTTCAAAAATGCAAGTCAAACCGTTGGATGTGATCAGCCAATCTCAAAGTTAACAGCCTTTGATGAGTCGTAATGAAGTCAGGGTATGTTTTCTTGCGCATGAATGCAATAATGGACAGTGTAGATTTGGAGAGAATGGTACAGATATGTATCTGGAAAGCTGTCTACATTTCCCATGTCTGTAGGATTCAAGAACCTCTCAACACAGTAACAGTGATATAATGCAGCAATTAGCTCTTGAAGCCATTATGAAAAGGAAATGCCTGTGTTGTGAACGATCAGTTTTTTGTGTACAATAATACCACAGGAAGGTCAAAGTATTCTATTCTTGTCAAATTAGAGACACAACAATATAGGGGTCCATCTATAATGCACTATGAATCGACCCGACCCAATCTGATCCTGTCAATAGGCATCTCTATAAGGAAAGTAGGAAAGCAGGTGATGATGCTGAAAAAGTAGCTTAACAAGATATTATTTGTTATAAGACACTTACAGAACAACACAGACTATCCAGTAACAAAAGCAATTAGTTTGTGACAGTTCTCCGAGATGAAAACACTTACCACTGCCACTCTCCTTGACATCTTGTGTGTTATGAAATCTTTCTAGACCACTTAAAAGGAAACTGACCTGAAAAAGATAAAACCTTTGATTATACGAAGTGGCTAGCCGTACTTAAGTACGGCTAGACTGCCAGTCTAGCCGTACTTAGATCTAGGTTTGGCCCAATCGACTCAAGCCTGTTAAGTACACAGGTCTCATTAGATCTAGATCTAGTAATTATTCAGGTTCAAATACATGCAAGTCAGTAAGGCACCTTTTGGTTTTGTCTGAAATACCAATACTTTAGGCATTGCAAACTAAAAATTCCATTTACAATTCAGCTATCAATATTAAGTACGGCTAGCCTGACAGTCTAGCCGTCCTTAAGTACGGCTAGCCTGGCTGTCTACCCGTACTTAAGTACGGCTAGACTGCCAGTCTAGCCGTACTTATCTTAGGCCCTATTAACATTAGAAAACAGGAGGTTTAAAATACATGCACTGTCATTAAGGCACCTGGTTTCGTCTCAAATTCAAATACTTTAGGTACTTCACACTAAAAATGTATATTTACAATTCAGTAGGCCTATTTTTTGTAAATGGTCAGTCTAGCCATCATATTAAGAATAAGTACGGCTAAACTAGTCTAGCCGTCATTAAGTACAACAGTCTAGCCGTCATTAAGTACGGCAGTCTAGCCGTCATTAAGTACGGCAGTCTAGCCGTCATTAAGTACGGCTAGCCTCTTCCTTGATTATATATATCTGATGCAGCCAGGTGAAATCAGGCGCTCGTCAAAATAATGAAAGACAAGAAATTGGCATTTTTCTGCAGGTTTGGGAATTTTTTTTCAAATTTTTGTTTTTTGGCTCAACACCTTTCATGCCCATTAAAGAACGCATTTCTGTATACTGAAAAACATTGATCAAAGGCAGAAAAGATGTAAACTTTCAGTTTCCAAAGACTCTCAAGCTAAGGAAATAACTCAATTTTGGTTGCCATTTTCTCCCTAATTTTACCTCTGAAACCTGGTGACCCCACCTCCTTCAATCGTCAATAGCTCGACTTGTATCAAAGATAAAAGGATACTTTTTTCATCAAAAGCAAGGCAATGGACATGCTTTAGATGATCGAAGTGATTATTCGGACTCGAGTCCGAATATGAAAAAATGTTATTCGGACTCTGATTCTTGTCCAGCATGACATCACTTCCGACTTCCGACTTCCTGTGACTCGTGACTCCGGCTTCCTGTCCTGCCTCACTCGTGACTCGCCTCAGGCTGGGTAGAGATCGGGATTACTTCGGGCAAAAAGGCGTTTTGTGCAGGAGCCGAGTTGTTATCTTATGATGAATTTGAGGCCGGCCTGAAAAGTTATAATGCTTCTAATAAATGTTTATTTGTCAAGAGGTCATCAGAAGCAATTAAAGATGGCTCGTTAGCGTGTGTCGGGGTCAGATGGGCGGCCTGCACACGTGTGGCTGTGTGCGTGTCAGGGAGGGGGGTGGGGGGGCACTATCGGTCCGGGCGTTGAACGTCGCATACGCGTCAGTCTTTTTCCCCCTGGCAACTGATCATTATTACAATAATATAGGCCATAAGCTAATCTTGACGTAGATCTACGTAATGAATTGTGCGCTGGTCTATGGAATCAAAAGTTGCCGTATGCTCAGCTCTACACAGCAACACAACTTTTTCTTGGTAAACAATCGAGATGACACAGGCTTGTGTATTTGAACGAATCGGTCTTTTTTTTTACACAGCTCATAATATGCAGGTGCCAGGTGGTCTGCTAATCTTCAATTTTACCTTTTTCTACAACACGGAAAGTGGGAAACATGGGGGGTAGGGCTGGGGGGGGGGGGCGTATAAATCATAATCAATGAGGCGGCGGGCATCGGATCAGCAGAAAAGGTGTGGGGGAAACTAAAAAATGGCGGAAAATTGGAAGCACTGAACGTTAGATCTATAGAACCAAGACACTTCCTTTTTTCCGGACCCGAGTCCGAATAACGACGGCCTTAGATGATACCAAACCAAGAACTCTATATGTCCCAAAATTGACGAGCGCCTGATTCTACCGGGTCGTGACACAGTTTTCTTTTCACTTTAAAAAATTCAAACTACAGACATCACAGAGGAGCAAGAAGTTGAATTTTGAAATTCCACCTCGATTTCAGACCAAATTTGTTGACAACCACTGTATGTCATGCCTGGTGCATCATAAATTGCAGAAAGTGTCCTCAAAATTCTATAATTTGACATGGAGTAATAATAAGTTTGAGGACAACACCAGGTTTTTTTCAAGGAGAGGTTAAAGCTAGATATCTACCATTTTGTACAATTATATCAAGTCCTTCAAAAGCAAACATTTTTTATCTCGATGTGATAATATGGATAAAAACATCAGTCAGAATCATTATGGATCAAATCTTTAGATGGAGTAAAAATTAAAATGTGGTAGACAGGCCATATCATAATGGACATCCAGGTCAAATTTGAAAGCAATTCTAGATCTATATATCTAGATATAGATCTAGATCTAATTTGATTTTACAATATAATGTAAGGACCGATAGACAGTATTCAGAAAGAGACAGAGAGAGAGAGAAGAGGGGAGGAGTTGATCTTGCGAGAACTTCCGGGCGGGTGAGAATAGCCACTTTCATAAAGTATAAACACGGGTCAGCAACATCCCTAAATATCAACCCATAAAATATAAAACAGGAATTTGACTAGTAAAGTGTCATGACCACTCTATTGTAGTAAGATTATGAAAATGACCAAAAAGTAAAGGAAGTCACAGTTTTAGAGAGATACAAACCCCAGTCAAGGACAATCCGGCTGCAACTTTGATTTGTCGCTGTGTAGTGTGTGTCGGTCGGTGTTGCGCCAACGCCCTGCTCCTACTCATTGGTTGGAAACGGACAACAATGTCAACAAACTGTGACGGATGTATCTTTTTTATACTGGTAGATCTAGTGTCTAGCCTACTGCTCTCAACAAATCCTCCTCCTCTCCTCTTTCTCTTCCTTCTCTTCTTCACTTCTTCTCCTTCTTCTTCATCTACCGTGACCAAGAATGAGAATACGAAGAAAAACAGAGACGTAGAATGAGAAACAGGCAGGGCCAGAGAATGAGGAAAATACAAAGATGTATATATGAGAAAGCGATAAACACAAACACTAAGAAATAAATAAAAAGGGCTTAGATTAGTTAGAAAAATTGTATGCTTGACTGACACTGACAGTGATAAGTTGGTGCGAGAACAATATGATATCAAATTTCACAACAAAGTGGAAGCACGGTTCCGGGTCGGGGGCCAAGGTGTATGATGTTTTGATGTCCTTATTGGCACAGGTTAAATCATTCAGGAGGCGGGCTCATATTACGTACAACCTCGCTATCAGTATCATCAAAGATAGTACAGCCTACGGTAGGGTGTAGTATCTTTGCTGTCAGGGTCAATCCGTGCTTGGGGCGTCCAAGGAGAAAGACAGCGAGAGACTCGATATATATATATACAT